CGTCTGCAAGCAATAAGTACTCTTCTGCCTGCACATACTGCAGTCATACCCTTTGTCATCTGTAAATAGTATCCGGTAATAATTTCGGTAAATAATATTTTTCCTTCACGAATTTATGCTCTCGCAGCAGTAACCAGTCATTTACAACAAGATTTTAGCCTGCCACAAGCAGTATTTTATCGTTTAGTCTTCAATTAACAGTATTTAGTCTTCTTCTAAAAGTATCTAATAACCTGCCAGTAGTATCTAGTCATCTGCAAGCAGTAAATAAGCTTTTGTCTACAGTATGTAGTCCTTTAGAAGCAGTATCTAGTCTTCTTCCACCAGTATCTTGTTTTCAGCCAGGGGTATCATCTCGTCTGCAAGCAATAAGTACTCTTCTGCCTGCACATACTGCAGTCATACCCTTTGTCATCTGTAAATAGTATCCGGTAATAATTTCGGTAAATAAAATTTTTCCTTCGCGAACTGATGCTCTCGCAGCAGTAAACAGTTATTTACAACAAGATTTTAGCCTGCCACAAGCAGTATTTTATACTACTCATCTGCAAGCAGTAAATAAGCTTTTGTCTACAGTATGTAGTCCTTTAGAAGCAGTATCTAGTCTTCGTCCACCAGTATCTTGTCTTCAACCAGTGGTATCTTGTCGTCTGCAAGCAATAAGTAGGTTTCTGCCTACAGTATGTAACCCTTTATCATCTGTAAATAGTATCCGGTAATAATTTTGGTGAATTATTGTTTGCCTTCTCTACGTTCTCTCAGCAGCAACCAGTCATCTGTCAGAATATTTTAACTTACCACAAGCAAAATTTTATCATTTAGTTTTCAATTAACAGTAGTTAGTCTTCCACCAGAAGTATCTAGTAGTCATCTGCAAGCAGTAATAATCTTCTACCAACAGTATGTAGTCTTTTGAAGCAGTATCTAGTCTTCTTCTACTAGTATATTGTCTTCAGCCAGTGGTATCTTGTCGTCTGCAAGCAATAAGTAGTTTTCTGCCTGTAGTATGTATCCCATTATCATCTGTAAATAGTATCCGGTAATAATTTTTTTTCCTTCCCGAACTAACACTCTCGTAACAATAACAAGTCATTTTCAAGAAGATTTTAGCCTACCACAAGCAGTATTTTAATGTTTAGTCTTCAATTAACAGTATTTAGTCTTCTACTAAAAGTATCTAATAACCTGCCAGTAGTATCTAGTCATCTGCAAGCAGTAAATAAGCTTTTGTCTACAGTATGTAGTCCTTTAGAAGCAGTATCTAGTCTTCTTCCACCAGTATCTTGTTTTCAGCCAGGGGTATCATCTCGTCTGCAAGCAATAAGTACTCTTCTGAATGCACATACTGCAGTCATACCCTTTGTCATCTGTAAATAGTATCCGGTAATAATTTCGGTAAGTAATATTTTTCCTTCGCGAACTAATGCTCTCGCAGCTGTAAACAGTTATTTACAACAAGATTTTAGCCTGCCACAAGCAGTATTTTATCGTTTAGTCTTCAATTAACAGTATTTAGTCTTCTACTAAAAGTAGACGTAAAAGTAGAAGTACTTAAGTATATACAGGGTACATGGTATTTACCCAAATTTCAATATACCCGGTATTTACCCATTAGATACGTACCGGGTATAAACGTTGAGCCCATCTTATCATTTCATCGTTTAGTCTTCAATTAACAGTATTAAGTCTTCTGCGAGAAGTATCTACTCATCTGCAAGCAGTAAATAAGCTTTTGTCTACAGTATGTAGTCCTTTAGAAGCAGTATCTAGTCTTCGTCCACCAGTATCTTGTCTTCAACCAGTGGTATCTTGTCGTCTGCAAGCAATAAGTAGGTTTCTGCCTACTGTATGTAACCCTTTATCATCTGTAAATAGTATCCGGCAATAATTTTGGTGAATTATTGTTTGCCTTCACTACCTAACGTTCTCTCAGCAGCAACCAGTCATCTGTCAGAATATTTTAACTTACCACAAGCAAAATTTTATCATTTAGTTTTCAATTAACAGTAGTTAGTCTTCCACCAGAAGTATCTAGTAGTCATCTGAAAGCAGTAATAATCTTCTACCAACAGTATGTAGTCTTTTGAAGTAGTATCTAGTCTTCTTCTACTAGTATATTGTCTTCAGCCAGTGGTATCTTGTCGTCTGCAAGCAATAAGTAGTTTTCTGCCTGCAGTATGTATCCTATTATCATCTGTAAATAGTATCCGGTAATAATTTTTTTCCTTCACGAACTAACGCTCTCGTAACAATAACAAGTCATTTACAAGAAGATTTTAGCCTACCACAAGCAGTATTTTAACGTTTAGTCTTCAATTAACAGCATTTAGTCTTCTACCAGAAGTATCTAGTAGCCTGCAAGAAGTAATAATCTTCTGTCTACAGTATCTAGTTCTTTGGAAACAGCATCTAGTCTTCTTCCACTAGTATGTTGTCTTCAGCCAGTATCTTGTCATCTGCAAGCAATAAGTAGTCTTCTGCCTGTAGTATGTAACTCTTTTTCAAATAAATTTTAAAGCAACGATGAGTTTTTGAGGTTGCTTCCAAAAAAATTGATAAAATTATAAAAATTGTAGAAATCTTAATTTATATCTAATTAAAGCTTAAACTGTGCTCTTTAAGGTAACATAATATATATCTCGTGAATTTCAATTTGAAGTAGATTTTGTTGTAATAATTTTAAACAAACTCTAGCATTACCAATGAAACATGATATGCACCCTTCTCACATTTCTGGGCTTGGTTAATGCATTTCTACCTCTGGTATTATCGTTGAGAGAGTCCTAAATAAAGCAAGATGTTGCATTTGCCATCAAAGTCAAATCAATTCAAAATTTCAAAAAATCACATCAACAATCAATAAAAATTGGAGTGTCGCTCATTTAATTCTTGTATTAACTCTACTTGTGGAGAAGCTTCAGAGCAAAATCTTTGTGCAAAATAAGCTTCAAACTGATTTTTGATTTAATCTTATAATGTCATAGCAATATCGTGTTGCGGAATTAGATAATCATTTGAGTTAAGACTGAGTTGTCTGGTGATGATTATAAACTTTAATAAACAAATTAGATTTAATTTAATATTTGTTGTTATGAAGCTTCCAGCGACATCTTGGTTTGAAATGATCAACTAAATAAAGATATCTGTAATATCACCCATAATAAACAATTTTTTTTAAATCAAGATTAGACTACTTATTAATAAATTATTAAAAAAATCTGAACTTAACACAAAATAAAAATTCAAATAAATATAAACAAAAAATAGGCAACAACGACATCTTTGTATGTAAGCTCTAACCTAAGCAATAACGACAACTTCAAGTACTTCGGTTTCCATAGTAACAAGAATGTGTTTATTCCAAATTTTGACACAAACAATTCTTAGTTGTCATAACAATTGTGTGTTTATTGACGTTCACAAGAATTTAACCCAAAAAAGTAATAAACAACGATGTTCAAAAACTTTAAATTAATTCAATCATAAAAGTTTAAAATGTTCTTCAATAAACGTAAACGAAAAAGTTTTAATTTCTGGATATCGTATTAAAAAAAAACATACTAAAGAAAAATTGATAAAAAGCGGTCTCTTTTTGAAAAAGTTTTTCTTTTCTGCACCAACTGTAATAATAATAATATGCAGGAAGTTCCAATAAAACCCAGAAGGAAAAGGGTGGATGTAGAAGTGCATAAAGCTGAAACACCATCAATTAAAACGTTTGGCGGAAATTATCCAGTCGTTTATTCAAATAGAAAATCAAAGCATCGAATAAAATCCGAAGATTTAAACGAAGAGGAGAAGTTGAATGAACGCATTAGTAAAAGACATTTAGTGAAGGAAAATGAGAAACTCAATAAAGAGATTGAATCGTTACAAGAAAAACTTACCTCTATGGAGTTGTATGTGGAAAGAAAAAATAATAAGTTTAAAGAAAAATTGAGTAGTCTTCAAAGTCTTAACGAAGACTTAAATAACGAAAATGTATCGCTTAGAAATCTAAACGAAGAGATTTTAGCTCAATTTAGAGCTTGCCAAAATGAATTGGAAATTGCAAGGAATTGTCAAAAATGTGAAGAATTTAACATTTTGGTCGAAAGACAGAAAGAAGATATTACACATTTAAAAAAATCTAATTTTGAATTAATCGAAGATGTTGATATGCTAAAAAATGTGGTTTTTAGGTAAGAATTTTTAACTTTATTATAAATTTTTTTTTTTAAATTCAAAAATCTTTATATGGTTTAAAAATCGTCGATTTTTTTTTAATCAGTATGAAATGACCCAAAAAACACGTTAAAAATAAAAAGAAAGTGCGGAAAAGTGTAAAACATACCGAAAAATCGCATTAAAGTTTTGTTGTGATGTCACGTATTGTGACGTCACAAGCAATTTCCTACTATACCGGTCAACACCTAACCTACAAATTGTTTATTTTATAGCCACGCACCAAGGTTTATAGAACATAAGGTTACCTAATTCCCTATGCCTCTGTAGTATCGATTATTACCCCGCAAATTGACGTCACTGGTTCGATACAGTGACAGATACCTTGGCCACGCACCAAGGTCTATAGAACATAAGGTTACCCAATACCGATTCTCCTCCTCTGAGAGGCAAGGTAGGTCAGTGACGTAGCTGGTTCTATGAACAACACAACACGTTGCGAGGTTTAAATATTTTATATAGACTGTACCACAGTATAGGCACGTATAGGCTATCTTTTATTCTGACTGTATCGAACCAGTGACGTCAATTTGCGGGGTAATAATCGATACTACAGAGGCATAGGGAATGAGGTAACCTTATGTTCTATAAACCTTGGCCACGCACAAAATTAATGTGATAAAGTTGTTTTCACTAAACTACTTTCGATACATAACCAATAGACTCTGTATTAATACTAGAACTAACACTAGACCTAGAAGTAGAAACATTCGGGTTAGCCGCACGTCTCTCAAGACGGCTAAACCCGAATGATTCTAGTTCTAGGTCTTGTGTTAATTCTAATGATAGTGCTAGTGTAGAACTAGAACTAGAAAATATCGGGTTTAGACGGGCGTCCTCAGACGCACGAATGTGACGACAACACGACGGAAGTTACAATAAGCAATATGAAAAAGTTTCTTGGGTTATTAATATTGATGGGACAAACTAAAAAAACTTGTTTGAGAGATTACTGGTCAACGGGTCCTTTGGTTGAAGCACCAATATTCTCTAAAACTATGAGCAGGATGAGGTTTGAGCAAATCATTACACTTCTCCATCTCAGTGATAATGTACAAAATGCACCTAGTAGAGAAAGGCTTTGTAAAATTAGACCTCTCTTGGCTTACCTTATCCAAAAATTCAATCTATGTATGTACCGAAACAGCAATTATCACTTGATGAAGCAATGATACCATAGAGAAGACGTCTCAGCTGTTTGTGAAAGTGAGTCTGGGTACATTTGCATCTTTCAGATTTATTCGGGTAGAGGACAAAAACTACAAGAAACTATATTATTAGTCTTGCAGCCGTATTTTGGTTATTGGAATCATGTATATCAAGATAATTACTACAACAACGTTTCTACACCTGGTATATTATTAGAAAAGAAAATACTTTTATGTGGTACCATACGAGAAAACCGTAGCTTGCCAAAAGTACTAAATAATAGAAAAGTCCAAGAATCTTCATAGAGGACAAATGACTTTTGTACGGAAAAGACCCATTCTTCTTCCCACATGGAAAGATAAAAGGTTGGTGCGAAACTGAAAAGCGGAATAAAAATTATACAAATGATAAAGTTCATGCATAATACAATACAATAAACACATTAAAGGAGTTGACCGTGCAGATCAGAATTTGGCGAACGGAATTATCTATCGAAAAAGTATAAAGTGATCTAAAAAACAGCATTCTTTTTAATCAATTGAAGTATTTCGTTTAAGGTGGGAAACCACATTAGAAGGTTCAAAAAATCGATTTTTTTTATTGCATAAATCGTTAGCTTAACTATCCAAGAATACGATGTCAAAATTACAAACCGAAATTCGCATTCCTTTAGATTTTATGATAGAACCGAGCGGTCTGCCATAGCCTATACTAGAGATGTGCGCGTTAGTGATTTTTTATGCCCGCTCACGATCTATACCACGCGGGTCACACATACCACTTACGTGAACATATGAATCAGGTGACTCACGCGTGATTTACTTGTGACATCATTAGCGAAAAAGCTCAGCACTTACTATGGACTAGCGATTGGAAGACATACATCGATAGTGTAGAAAATATGAAAACAGCGATTATAGCGACATACTATCATATGATATCCACCGATGAAAATCCTCGACACGAGTGTTGCCCATAGGGAGAACACAACTGGTGCGTGTGGCAGAAACGAACAGCTCTTGGTATGGAGCTTGCACCGCATCCTACTCCATTCCATCCCGACATACAGCAGGAAATTCTGCATATATATGAAGATTTATCAAGGGATGAATTACTGGAAAGATGTTTAGGTGGCCACACGCGAAACGCAAATGAAAGCTTTAATTTCACAATTTGGCGATTAGTTCCTAAACATTTGCACTCCGGGCTAAAAGTCATCGAATTGGCATCGTACTTAGCCGTGGGCTTATTCAATGCAGGAAATTTATCCCTTCTGATGATCATGAACGAAGCAGGAATTGTAGTAGGTACGCAAAGCTTCCAGTACGCTGAACAAATAGAAAACCAGCGCGTGAGTCGACAGAATCGACGAAAAGCACTGCTGCAAGCGCAAAATGAAGCTTGCAGCAGTGCTTTAAATGAGGAAGACGAAGGACTAATGTATGGTGCTGGAATCGCGGATTAATCGGTGACTACTTTATATTGAAATGGCTACACGTCCCGCAATTGGAGAACTCTAGGTACGACGTCCAGCGGACATCAGTGAATAACTTTGTTATTTTTCTATAAAATTATTCAAAAAAATTCACAAAAGTTGTTCGAAATATAAACAAAATAGTGTCAAAATTTGATTAAATTCTAATCAATTTTTCCCACCCAAAAAAAATCCTAAAAAATCAATGAAAATGAGCTTCCTAATGTGGTTTCCCCCTTTAATGCATACAAAATTTACTCTAAAAAGTCACAAAATAAACTAAGATACAAAAAATTTCTACTAGAAGTAGCTTCTTCTCGTACTTCTAAAAAGGCTCCCTACAAAGATCCACCTTCCAGGCTTTCAGGAAAACTAAGCGACCACATTTTAGAACAAATAGTCACTAGCGTAAACACATCCTGTATAAGATACTCTGTTACAACAAATAACAGTCGACAATCAAGCTTTCTTGAATGAATATTGAAAAAAAAAACTTAAAATCAAAATAACTCGAAAACGAAAAATGCTAGGTATCAGTAACTTTTATAAAAGTCAACATATTTTTTCGCGTATAATTAAAAGGTGCAATAAAAACTACAGCATATCATTTAAAATAACGAAGTCGTGGTCTACTTCTGGTAGATCGGAAGTGGCCACCATTTTGATCACTACTTTAGATAGAAAGATCTCTCATATAAACTAAATTTCAGAAACGTATCGCATAGAATAAAATATGCAAAAATTAAATAAAGAGAAGGGTTTGGAGTTTTGGCAAAAGAATGCGTAAACCAAATACCGAATTCCAGAAGGACAATTTAGTAGCCACTGTGAAATACTGTGGTGGTCATGTAATAGTTTGGGGAAGGGAAGTATGTCATATAATGGAGTTGGTCAATTACATTTTATTAAATCCAAAAAGTATCGACAAATTGGTTATCAAAGACGATTGTACGTTTTTACAAAACAACGATCCCAAACATACTGCACGTGGTTAAAGAAAGCATGTTGTATAAAGTGTCTAAAGTACTTCCCCATCCTCCTCAGAGTCCGGATTTAAATCCGATAGAAAATCTTTGGCATATATTGGATTTGGTGTTACAGAAAAAAATATTTCCAATAAAACAGACCTGAAGCAATGTCTTCAGGAATGTTGGAAAAAACTAGTTAATTCCATGCCTAATATGTTAAAAAGTGTGTCTAAGTGTCCACTTGCGAGAAATGCTCTCGAGAGATTTTTTTCTGGTGGACACGCATCTGAGAGTAACTATCAGAGACTCCCCACCAACTTTCGGAGAGTAAACAGGTTGAGACTTATACTCAAGTGGACACGCACAATTTATCTATCGTGAGAGTAACTGTGAAACAGCGAACTTTCGATTTCTCTTGATGAAACCATTAATATCACATCAAATGCTCGGTTGACCATTATTGCGAGATATTCTGATGGCCTTACTATGAGAGAAGAGATGATAAAATTAAAATCAGTGCCAATAAGGATATCAGGAAACGAAATATGTAAGCTTGTTATCGAAACGTTCAGTGGATTAAGCATTGATATCTCTAAAATTGTGTCGGTCATGTCATAACAGATGGGGCACCAAATATGGTTGAAAAAAATGTGGGATTCATGAAATTGTTTATGGAAACTGTTAGACATCTTATTGTACCATCCTATTGCATTATCCAACTGAATAATGTAATGTTTGATGTAACAAAAATTGTTAATTTTATCACTGCTCGACCTCTCCATAAGCGAGAATTTTCTGCACTTTGGCAAGAAGTCGATTCAATCTACAGTGGATTGCTAATGTTTAATTAATGTGAGATGGCTGAATCAAGGTAAAGTTCTTGAGCGATTTGTGGAATGTTTTGACGAAATTACAGTATTTCTTGAGAATAAAGACCTGGCAAACTTTCCCCAGATTAATGATGATAAGTGGGTCAGTAATTTGATGTTATTTACAAATTTGTCTGTTCATATAAATGAACTCAACTTAAAATTACAAGGTTTTGGCAAAAGTATTGATGTTATGTTTAAATCTTTCGAATAAAAAATTTAAAATTTTTAAACGAGATATTGAATCTAAACTTACAAATATTTTCCTCGGATAAAAGGTATTTTGAAAAGACCATTAATGTAACGGAATGTATACTTTTTTACCAGAATATAATAAATTCATTATCTGAACAGTTCAGCGAAAGATTTACTTACCAATTTAGAAGCCTGGAAGAGAACATTAAAATAATTAAATATCCGGATGTAGTTACTTATAATACTTTGAATTTATATGATTTCCAATAGTTGGAAATTGAAAATTTAGAAATGGAGCTGGTAGAATTTCAAGAAAGAGTTTGGAGTCATATATTCGTTGAGTTAAGAGTGAAGCTTGAAAATTTGGAGCGGAATCGGTTAAATAATGAAGAAGAGTGCAACTATGCACAGGAAATTTTGAATGCTTGGAACAGATTATCTGACAGTAACATAAAGAATCTTGCAATGGCGTTATTAACAATATATTCTTCAACGTATTACTATGAGATGTTATTCTTTGGGTTAAATACTGCAAAAAATAAATCTTTTTTTATCTGAAAATACCAAATACTTATTAAAATTTTTATATATGATACGGCAGCATATTGTTTACTAAGAGTTTTGAAAATTTTGACACGTCCAGTTCAAAAGGTTCGCCATCACTGTCATAAATCATAATTGAACGGTGTTCAAATATTTTATTAACCCACTGTATATTGTTAGCACGGTCGATGACGACACCAAAAAGTGACGTCACGTCAAAACTTTAAAGTGATTTTGTGATAAGTTTTACATTTGCCCGCGCCTTTTTTTTAATTAAAACAAATGTTGTGCACTTGTGAACGTATTAGTTTATATTTTCTCTACCGATTTCGCAGTTTTTAAAGGAAACTTAACTGCATCATCAGGAGAATCCTTAAAATACAAAATCAAATCACAACAATGTTACAAAATTCTTTCTAGTTTCTAGAGGTATTTCAAAAAATTGTTGTCACCATAACAAGAAAGTGAGGTTAAGAGGTAAAATGTGTCTGGTGGAGAAATCTACACTACTCTCCAAAATTATCACACCACCTAAATTATGCATTAAGTTTAAAGGTTTTTTTTTTAAATCAACGGATGGATTTTGATTATTCTTTCTTCACGGTATAGGTGATTTTTAAGGAAGAAATGTGTTGATGGTTTCTGACAATTGTCAACGTTTTACCCATATACAGGGTGTAAAAAGAAATTTATGTTTTTTGTTCTAATTTTGCAACACCCTGTGGAATTTATCAGAAAGAACCGCTACATTCCATTTACATTACGTTAGAATGGGAACCTTTCTCTACATTTTCGTTCAAGAATCATCTCGATATCTCTTTTATCAAGGAAGATACACATTTTTTAAGTTTGACTTAATTTTGTTGAAATATAGTCCTTACTAATGAAACAAGCAGGCTATGAAATATCAAACAGTTTGACAGAAATGCTTGTCAATTTTATTTACGCATTTAGCAAGTTGCTGCTTTGGGTTATTATGTGTTTATTTGACATGGACCGTATTTCAAGACATTTAAACCGCGATGAGTGTGTTGAGGCAGTTACTTTAGCCAATGAAGGAATAAGTTATCGTGAAATAGGCTTGAGATTAGGAGTTTCTTATACAACAATATCATGTGCCGTTCAACGATTTCAAGAGACAAATGATCATACAAGACGACCTGGACAAGGAAGAAGGAGAGTCAAAACACTACGCCAAGATCGTTTTATTAGACTTCGTACTTTAAGGGAACGTTTTGTTACAATGAGAAACTTACAGATACAAGTAGCAGATGTTCATAATATTCGAATTAGTACTAACACTGTACAAAGGTGTCTCGGCGAAGGTGATTTGTATGCAAGGATTCTTGCCAGAGCACCAAATTTAAACGCAAATCATCGTAGAAGGAGATTGCAATTTGCCAGAGAACATCTTGACTGGAATGCTGATGACTAGGAACAAGTACTGTTCACAGATGAATCAAGGTTTTGTTTATACAGCTCAGATAGACGTTTAAGAGTAATTCGACGGCCCAATGAACGCTATGCACAGTGCAACATGCGACCGACAACTTTATTTAATGGAGGATCTGTAATGGTTTGGGGTGGAATTTCGCTTACAGCACGAACAGCCCTTGTTTCTTTGCGAAGAGGTTCATTAACAGTTGAAACGTATATTACAGACATTTTATCGGAACGCGTGGTACCCTTTGCTCCTTACATAGGAAATAATTTTTTATTAATGCATGATAAGGCAAGACCTCATGTTGCCTATACGGTCTGTGATTATTTGGATGAAGTTGGTATACAAACCATGGACTGGCCACCCTGTAGCCCTGATCTCAATCCAATAGAGAATTTATGGGATAATGTTGATCGTCAGTTAAGGGGCCGACATCCACCACCTATCGTTTTGGACGACGTTGAGAGGATGGTAAGAGAGGTTTGGGATGCAATTGATCAAGATCAAATTCGACGCTTGATTTTAAGTATGCCTCGTCGCTGTGAAGAAGTGATACGTAAGAGAGGCGGAAATACACATTATTAGGTGATTTTGAGAGAATTGATTATGTAGTGTTTTTTAGTTTTCACCTACTTGTTTAAAACGTTAATAAAAATTCGTTACATTTAAACTTGTGTATCTTCCTTGATAAAAGAGATATCGAGATGATTCTTGAACGAAAATGTAGAGAAGGGTTGCCATTCTAACGTAATGTAAATGGTATGTAGCGGTTCTTTCTGATAAATTCCACAGGGTGTTGCAAAATTAGAAGAAAAAACATAAATTTCTTTTTACACCCCGTATATGGGTAAAACGTTGACAACTGTCAGAAACCATCAACACATTTCTTCCTTAAAAATCAACCTATATCGTGAAGAAAGAATCATCAAAATCCATCCGTTGATTCAAAAAAAAATACCTTTAAACTTGATGCATAATTTAGGTGGTGCGATAATTTTGGAGAGTAGTGTATATAAAACTTAAGTTGGTACTATTGACAAAATCAAACTTTAAAACTCAAAATTAAAATTGGCAAAAAATAATTAGTATTTACTATTGAAAATCAAGACTGAAAACAAACACGTGGATAACCAGGTAACAGGGGGATTTTAGAAAAGGGTTTTTTTTATATGTAAAGGCTTACTTGAGTGATTTCTCATCAATTAAAAAAAAATGTCAATTTTTAAGAGACATGGTGATTCTCGACTCATACCTAAAAATCTTTTATTTTTAGACTCAACGTTCAATTAGAACGATACCAACAAAAACTGCATAAATCCAACTTATCGTTTAATTCACATTCCCAAAATATCCCAAAATCGACTCCAATTTCCCACGAAAACATTGTCGATGGGATCTCAATTTTATCTCAAACCCATCGTGGACACCCACATACCGCTGTTTCTTGGGGAAAAGTGAATGTCCATACTCTTGGACCTCTCCTCGATGCTTATGAAGACTCAATCAATGAAAAAGACAACATCATCCAACAATATGAGGATCAATTATCGATATTTACCGAGAAAATGAGAGATATTATTAAGGAAAACGAAAATCTTCATAAACAACTTATTGAAGATGATGATTCAAGTTACGTTCTTTCGGGGGAAATCGAGAAATTAAAGGAGGAACTACAGTCGTTGAAAGAACAAAATGATTTATTGATTAAAAAGTGTGCGTTGAAACAAGATAAAGTTGAGGAAATTTTAAAATGTTACGAGCAAAAAGGTTATTTTTTATTATTATTAGAAAAAAAAAGTTTTATTATCATTATTTTTTTAGTTGAACAAACTAAAAGAGATTATAAAGTTCTTCACGAAGAATACTGTAAAAATCGCACGGAAATAGCGGCTTTAAAAGAGAAAAATAAAAGTTTATTAGAAGAAAAAGATGATTTTAGAAGTGAGAGGCATCAATATATTCCGTTAAGCGTTCATAATGCAAGCGTGAACGAGTGTAAAAAGTAAGTAAATAAATCGATCAATCGTGTTTTGTAAGCTTTGTGGTTGTAGGTGGTACGAAGAGTTGAAACAACAGTACGAGAAAGAAAAAGGAAAACTTAAGGAGGATATTGAAACGTTAAATAAACAGTTATTAGATGGAGCGGGGAAAATATCGGAATATAAAAAAGAAAGAGATGAGAATGAGTTAAAATTAAAAGCAGGAGACAAACAAATTAAGAAATTAGAAACTAAATATTTAGAGTTACAACATACACTAAAAGAAGTTGAGTTATCAAGGAGTGCTTGCAGAAAACAATTACATAAAGCGATGAGTTTTGCTAGGGAGCTTGTTTCTGAGCAAGAAACTTTGTTGAAGGCCTTAAATCAACGACATCAAGAGAATAAAGCCGTTAAAAGAATCGGATCTGATATTGCAACAAGAATGGATAGTTTAAAAAGTCAATTAAAAGTATATTTTAGAACTAAAATAAATAATAAAAGAATTTTAAATTAATAATTTTTTTTTAGACTGTTCAACATGAAGCGTATCTCGATTTATCTTCCGTGGAACAAAAATTACAACAAAAAGATACGATAATAAATAATTTAAAGAAACAGCATAGTTTAGAAATGGATAAGTTGAAAAAGTTAATAACTGAAAAAGAAGAAAAAAGTATTTTATTGAAAACTAAATCGGATTCTTCCATACCATTGCCTCATTATTTATTATTCAGGGAAAAATCTATGCAAAAATCATGAAATTTTGATTGCTTAAGAATTTTTTATTGTATATTTTGTAAATAAATAAATAAATAAATTGGATGTTTTATATTTTTTTTTAAATGAATTCAAAAAAGTTTTATAGCAGAACGTGGTTTCGATCCACGGACCTCTGGGTTATGGGCCCAGCACGCTTCCACTGCGCCACTCTGCTTTACAAAAGTGTTGTATTTGAAATGTCTGAATCAAGATATCAATTACTGCATCTCACCGTGGTATTTTAAATATTTATTTAGATTTAAAACATATTTATATTTCGTCATCCTAATTAGCAAAACTCGTAACTCCATTTTTATCATAATTTTAGATATTTGCGCCATGTGTTAGTATGACTTGGTAGCTACATTTTGATCAAACCTCGTAACTCCATGTTAGTTTGTTTAGTCGGTATAGCATTAAAGAAAAACCTCGTAACTCCGTAACGTTTTGTGCCAAAAGAAAACCTCGTATCTCCAAAGCTAAAATTAAAGTTATAGTTGTGTGTAATATTAAATTAGGAGTTGCCGAAATCAACCGTGAGCCCTAATTTGCATTGCTTCTAACAAGATAATGTACAGGTGTCCAAATTTCGATGGGTTCGCAGGGTATCTCAGTTATTATGCAAGATAAAAAGTTGCGGCTTTTGCGAACCTGAGCTACTTTTTTGTGAAACTTACAATATCGCAAACCAAATTTGTGTTTGAAATTTACGATTTTCAGACACCTCCTGTATCTCGGTTATCCGAAAAATTAGTAAAAAAGTAAAAACGGGTTCTAATAGATTTTTTCACGTTTCACGTCAATCCAATGATGCACGGTAACTCAATGGTAACTTTTTATAACTCAAAAACTGTGATGCCTAGAAAAATTCTAGGTGCACCATTGGATTCTACGTGAAAAAATCTATTAGAACCTGTTTTTACGTTTCCGGATAGCCGATACAGGATTTGTCAGAAAATCGAAAATTTTGAAACACTCCCTGTATATCAAAAACGAAGAGGGCTATGAAAATTTAGTTTGCGCCATTGTAAGTTTCACAAAAAAGTAGCTCAAGCCGCAACTTTCTATCTTTCATAATAACTGAGATACCAAAAATTCAAGGGTTATTCTTTAGGC